CAGATAAGTTTTCTACGGATCCGACAATTCCGGATCTGGATACCCTGAAATTCCAGGATATCCTGAATCGTTCCACCCCTATCATTCGTTATTTGCATTTTGAAAGAAACCGTATGATTAACTAAATTTTATTTTTGTTCAAAAATAAAAGATGAAAACATTGATGGAATAAACTAGATTTGTGAGATAGTTCTAAATTTTTATTTTCTTTTGGGTAAATTTTTTTCTTTTCAAAGGAGTTCAAAGAGGAATAAGCTAATTTAACTAGGCAAAACATTATTCTCTTCAATGCTTCATAATAATAATGTTAGAGTAATGTAGAGCAATAGAGATCGAAAAGAGTAATTCATTTAATGGATACCAACCAAACAATACACATAATGGTCCATGGAATAGAGAAAGTGGGTGCGGATATAAATATACTTAACTTAAAAATGTATGAAGAAATGATGATTTTTATTTACAAATTATAAAAGAAGTTAAAGAAGAGTCCCTACATAGAACCCACTTGGCCACAAAACATGAAGACGCAACCATTATGTGGAATTCCGACTCATTGCTTTCAAATCTAATCCTTCATCAAAACCAAATTTGTATTAAAAAAAAGGATTTCGACTTTATAGTATTTGTCTTACGAAATTTAATTTGACAATCCAGCTTTAAGACATGTTGGGTCATTTCTCTATATAGTGTTGTCTCCACTTTGTCGTTTTCTTTTTAAGTCGATTGATCCAAGTTCATGATAGCGACCCTAGTGCACGATAGCAACTTGAAATTATAATTTTATCAATATTTATCATATTTTTCATGGTTATAAAAAAATGCATTTTGAATTTGCATTATTAGGTTTTAAAAATATCAGTTCATTAATGTTCCGGATATGTAAGGCAATTCTAAAAATATACCGCATTTATATATTCAAGTTGCAACCAATATCCTTAAAATCCAAATTAAAATACGACAAACTTTAGATTAAGGAATGGTCCTAAGAAAAATGGTTTAGTAACCTTCTATAAATCATTAAGAAATCCTTCATAAACCTAAAGTTTGTAATAATTTTGGAAATTTTTTTGTGTAATTAATAGTATTTTTTGAAATTAAACTTCGTTGTGTGGTGTTTTAAAATATTTCTCGTTAACGATAAAGTATATATGTATTTGCATTGTTATTGTTAGGTTATCAAAAAATCTTATATATAGAGAGAGACGGGATTAGTTATTATTTAAAGAAAAACCAAACCATATAAAAAATTTATAACCTTTCAAAATTGAATTATTATTTGAAATTTTTGTTCTGGATTAATCATAACAATTGATGGTGGCATGCAAAAATAGACTTAAGAATTGGGTCCACACTAAAAGATGAAGGAAGTAGATGATTCATTCTTGCTACACCATCATGTAACCTACTATAACATCACACATGCTTTGGCACCCCACCCCCACCCATCCCACACTTACTCTACTGTTTTTAAACCCGGTTTTCATTTAACCGATCCGATCGGCTTGACCGATAATTCAAACAAAGAAAAAATTGTTGAGATTAATTTGCCTTATCAGTGATGTTAAAAACTATTTTAGTCATTAGTGATTGAAAGTATTCTATTTATTGTATATTATGATCAAAATTCAAAACCAAATAATCATTCTGTAAACTAATTGGTTTGATGGGGTAACTAAAGGATCCGGTTTGCTTTCCACCTCTGTTTTAAATCTAAACCATGACAACCCCACTTCTTTATAAGTGTTATAACCAACCCATTTCAAGAAGTCTAGTAAGCTTCTTCAGTCACGTAAGCTACAACAAAAGAGAGAAAGAGAGAGAACAAAAATTATTGCTTAGAGATTGTAAAGGCAAATATCAAAACCAAAGGGCCTAAAGATGATGAAGGGAAGCAAGTCTTACACGGAGTATTCGTCTTCTTTCTCTACCGATGAATTCGGTTACGATCAGAACCGTTCAAACTCCTATAATTTCAATGGACCTTGCATCAACACAGATCCTGAGATAAAGAGGAAGAAGAGAGTTGCTTCTTATAACTTCTTTGCTACGGAGGAAAAGCTCAAGAACACTCTCAAGAACAGTTTCAAATGGATCAAGAACAAATTCTCTGGTGATGATAGCAATATCCGGTACAGCGTTTAGATTAATCCACTTTCATCTTTTGATCTCCATCTTCTTTCTTTTTAATTACACTAAGATTATAGTGAAATTTTAACATGTAAATTAAGTGTGTGAGATTATATATGTGTGTGAGATATTAAGAATTTTATGGGTTTGTGTTACTCAAGTAGAAATGCAGATGTTGTCTCTATGTTCTCGATTTGCTTGTGGGGAAACTAAACTGATGCGTTCTATCTGGAATTTGATAACTGATCCTATCCGATCTATTTTGGTATAGACTGTGACTGTAGATTTTTGGCTGTAGAGAAAAAAACTGTAAAAACTTTGACTGTTACTTTTAAGTATTAATAAAGTCTTATTGGTAATAAAAACTGTAAAAACTGTTATACTAAAATATAAATTGTAACAAACTTTTATGTGGTAATGATGTAAAGACGAATCTTGAACAAATTCAAATTCATTGTATTTATAATCTTTAGTGATATTCTAAAAATAGTGTTTGAGTATATCTACTTTCTTATAGTGATCGAG